AAGAGCGTCTCTTTGAGGGATCGACACCTTTTCCCAGACTGAAAGAGGTATTTTGTGTCATTAATGTGTCTTTTCTTTGAAAGCAGGTATGTGATCGGGAAAAAAACAACCTGGGGCAGGATATTAAAGCAGATGTGCAGAGAGGTGGTGGGTTTCTTTCTCTCCCACCCTTTATAGCAGAGCTTAGACAGGAAGGAACCCTTGTCATTAGAATACTGTTTGACTTAACATATGGACAATGGGAGAGACAGGGTTAAAGTGTGGGGGTGGACCTGAGCTGTTTCCCATCTGATTTGTTTCTTTGTGCAATCTCTGAGGGTAGAGGAAAACTTCCCTTGTGCACCTGGAGAAGCACCACTTACCCATTAGAGAGCGAGATGTAAAACTTGTAATTGTTTAACATGAATGTGGTTTGCTTAAATCTCTGCTTGGCAAATTACACTTCTCCTCACAGCAGAGCTCCCCTTAACATGTACAAATGTTAGAGGTCTTAACATCTAGTGGCTGTGATAGCACTTCTGTTTCTCTCTCTTCCCTCTTTCCAGCGTACTCACCTCCTGCCGTCTTCACCCTCCTCCCAGCCTCCCTCCTCCCAGTGGGGGCTGTGCCCCTATGGATGCCCCGGTACAGATTTTCCGGGAGGAGCCGGACTCCACTTGCCCCCCAGGGTCCTGTCATCCCCCCAGCACCAGCAGCAGCTGGGTCCTGGGCTGGGTGGACTATGACAGCAATGCCACTGGGGCCTTTGGGGACACCCAGCACAACCACACCAGCATCTCCCCTGCCATCCCCATCATCATCACTGCTGTCTACTCAGTGGTCTTCGTTGTTGGCTTGGTGGGAAACTCGCTGGTCATGTTTGTCATCATAAGGTAAGGGTCTTTAGAATACCTGTTGTTACAAGTGGCCATCCCTAAATTTGGCAGGGAGGGAGGGGGTAGTTTGTGGAAGCTCTCTGGAAATACTCAAACGAGGAGCTAGAAATAATAACTGGGATGAGCCAAACCTTTTCAGTCCCAGAGGTTTGCCTGGAAGCACAGTTAGAAAGGAGAAGCTGGTTAAAAGTGATAAATCCTGCAGCCTGCAGGTAGGGCTCTTTGTGCCCAGGAGCTGTGTTCATCGGGTGCCATCTAGGGATGAGAGGCTGCTTGCATCCCAGGGAAAGCTCATGTGGAAGAAAGAAAACTTCTGCAGGGCAGCTCTTTTCCTCTGTGAGAAGTTCCCAAGGAACAGCTTATGTGTCTAGTCTTGTGGACACCGATATATTGCTGCCTTGTCACCTAGTGGCTCATTTAACAAGGTGGGGAAGAAGGGAAATGATAAAAATACTTGGAACTGTTGTTTCTGGCTTGTAGAGGCTTGTAGAAAGCAAAGTAGACACTGAGAGACGTCTACCTTTCCTAATGTTTTTCAGGAACAGAAGAAAACTGTATATCTGTGTTAGTATTTCATATTAACTATTGATGAAATGGACCAATACTTACACTTGTGTATTAGTGTGTATTTTAGCTTGCAATATATTTTATCTTTCTTTTTGTCCTTTCTTTGCTGCAAGTTGTAAAAATGTCTGGACAGTGCAGACTGACAGGGCCATAATGAGCAACCAAAGAGACTGAAAGCATGCAGCTTTTTGAACTCCTGCTTCACAGTCCATTTGGATCCTGCAAAAAATTCTGAAAAAAATATAATTGTGAAACATTCACTGCTCAAATTGAATCAGCATGTACACAGAAAAAAATGGGAGATATCAGAAGCGAACTTGTTAGTAAAGTGTGCATGGTAAAGGGTCAAGCAATTGCAGAATGATGAAATAACTGTCAGACTTGACATAGGGAGAAATTAACTAGAAGCAGTGAAGTTGTTTGTGAGGTACTTTATAAAAGATGAGTTATAACCAGGTGAATACTATTGAAAAATGTAATTATATCCCTTTTAATAGCAAGTGTAAGAAATAAAGATACCTATGGTCGATGTGGGGAAACCGGTTTGCTCCAGTTTTGTGATGCTGTAATTTTTATACCTCTCCATGCCTCTTTGCCCTTCATTCAGAGTAGATCTTTAATTTCTTTTTGCATTTGCCTTGCCAGCAGAGAACTTCCATACCTGACACACACAGAGCTGCAAAGGCAGAGATTTTCTAAGCCATCAGTCAGTAAAATTATGTTTGATTAACTGGCCTGGGCAGTGGAAATAAATTACAACTTAGAACCTAAATTTAGCCTATCAGGATGATACCAGTGCATATGTATTTCCTTTTTTAATCTCCTGCTGTTACCTTACAAGATTATTTTTGTGAGGGTCTAGCTAGCTATGGCTCACTCTCCTACCCATTCCTATATTAGTTTTCTGCTTCAGCTTGCTCTTGGTCCATCTCTTGATTACATGATCAAAAAAATATGTATGACAAAACACCTGTGGTTAGATTGTTGGGGTTTTTTTTCATTATCCACCTCTCCAAGATTTTCTCTGTGGCAAATCACTTGCTGAAGTGTATGCATATACAAACCTGCAGTTTCAAACTTCTCTTATGATTTTTAAATATTCCAGGTGTTCATACAAGAAGTGTGTTTTCATAATTTTTGTCTTAACCTCTTATTTCCCTCTCTCTTTCCTTCACATACCCTCTCTTCATGATTGCATCTCAAGATGGACTTGTAGCCTGCAGTGCTGTCCTATTGTGTGGAAAGTCAAGGTCTATGGGATATTTATGACAGAAGGTGGCAAGAGAGAGGAGGATCATGTTCCCCAGCCATATCCCATTGCCTCTTGTCCAGCTGCCACAACTCTAAGGGAGGATGTGGATAGATTGTGGCTGTTCTTTACCTTCCAGCTGAGCACGTGGTTTGTGTGAGGCCTGTCGTTACCAGTTCTCATCTTTCTGTGTTCCTCTCCTCTTCTTATTCCCCTCTAGACTCAGAGGCAATGCAGGCCCAGATCCTCTTCTCTTTGCTCTTTTAAGCAACACCTGATATGGCTAGAGTAGTTCAGTTAGAAGGCATCTACAATGATCACCTAGTCTAATTGCCTAACCATGTCAGGCCTGACACTGATTCATCTTCTGGGTGACACAAACAAGATCCTTCATGGTCTGTGACTTTCAGTGAAACACTGTCAGTGCTGTGGTAGATTCAGATGTCGGTTAGTCTTGGGATGCCTCAGAAATAGGCTCAAATCCATCCATAGGCAGTCCTTGGCCTACTCCTTGCATTAATACTCCCACAGAGGCAGTTTTGCTACTTCGGCACAAGGGCTGCTGAAGAAGCTGATGGAGACCCCTGAGTTAGCATCTCAGTATCTTGAGTGAAGCGCTGGGTGTCCAAAATCTTCTTCAGGTGTGGTAGAGTATGTTTCTGCTGAAAGGGAAAACCTTCTCAGAGTTCCGTCAGATGGAAAAGTAACAGGAGAATGGCACTCTGATGACATGTACAGGCTCCTGAAAGAAAATCAGCTTGGTACAGCTCCTGTAAATAGAGATTTGTGTTGAAGGCACAGTGGGAATGGTACTTCAGTATGGTGGTTCCAGCATGGCCTGACAAAATATGTCTCAGGAGACCTGTATTCCTCTTTTGCTTTTATTAGCAGCCTTTAACGCTCTGTCCTGTCTTGAGAAAGTCACTTCATGGCCCTGTGACTTGTTTTCCTCATGTGTAAAATGGAAATACTGGTATTCGGTGTCTCTAAACATACAGCTACTGTTAGATTTAAAAGCCAAAGCTTAAGCACTCATAAATCTAACAGAGCAAGGCAAGGGCTGTTGTGTATACCCCAGACTCCTCAGGCTCATCAAGAATGGTTATTTTTAATGTGCAGAAAGAGCTCTGGGTTGTGCACACAGTGCATCCTGCACTCTTTGTATACCTGTTGTGGTTGGCTCTCCTGGTGTGGCTGGTTTTGTAGAAACTCTCCTTGTGTTCAGGTCAGCTGTGAGGCATGTGGACCCAGCCCCAGGTGGGCTGCAAGCAGGTCAGTAGCTGGCTGGGTGGGCTGTCTGTGCTTCTCACCTGGTGAGCCATGACACACGGGGATGTAGGGAAATACCAGTACTGCGTGGGAAGCACAGTCCTCCCTCCCCCTGTGGAGGAGAAGAGGAAGCATTAAATGGGTTTGTAGAAACCAGGTGAAGTTATCTAACCTCACCTGAGTAAAGTTACAAAGCTATGTGTTTCTTGGGATGTCGAGAATGTATCTCAACCCCAAACCTTTTCTTTTGAGATTAGCTTTACCTCTGCAGTCTTATAAGGTATTTCTGCAGGTGAAATAGTTGGCTGAAGTTGATAAATTAGATGGCTTGTCCTTGGAAGCAAAAAGTCTTCTTCCTCTCTTCCTCCTCCCTCATTATTTCTCTAAAATTTGGTGCTGACTTTAAAGAAAATGATGCTTTTTTTGTGACAGCTGGAGGGGAAGAAAAGTCCCCTGATTAAAGTTACAACTTTAACTATGAATTTGCTCTTATCAAAACCAAAAACTCACTCTGGTAAAAACTCTGGGAGATGCTGTCTTTTACCCAATCCAGATTCCCTTTCTCTAGGTGTCTTACCCCCATTGTTCCTGAATTCATTTTCTGAGAGCAGCTCCTACCATCAGGATCTTAAATAGCCAATCTCATGTTTCTCTTAAAATTATCTTTCAAGCTTCCAGTGAACTGAATAATTTTCTACATTCAAAACCAGCTTTAACAAGAGGCTGTGTCATAGATATGTAAATTTATTCCTAAGGGAAAAGAGAAAGCTTGTATTCCTCTCCTCAGTCTAAGGTTGTATTGTTTTTAAATCTTCTCCACCATTCATTCTAAATGAGATTGAAAATATATAATTTAAAAAGTATTAAAAGTAAAAATTATTCCATATATTTGTTTAAATCAATATTAGATTGTGGTAACATCAAAAGGTTACTTGTTAATTTGCTTTGAATAATTGTTCCAATTGGATGAAATCTTATTTGGAAAGAATATTGTTCTGAAATGAAAAATGAAGCTCTGGAAGCGTCGACCTAACTGGACTGCCTGTTCCCTATTACTTGCAGTTGTTATGATTTCATTCTTTCATGAAATGATGGGTTTGGCTGCTAAAAGCAAAGGCCTAGCTGTAGGCCAGCCTAAACTTCATGAAGTTTATGGCTTTTTCTCTTTTTCACTTGATTAAGCATCCCATAGTTGGGTATTATCAAATGGATTTATAATAATTCATCACAGGACCTCAAAGAGCATCTGGTCTCACCTGACTGAAAGCTAAAATAGTTTTGCTGGGTTCTACAGGATCTGGCCAAATGTGGCACCATTTTAATCACAGCTTTGAAGACTGGTACTTACCAACAGCTTTTACATATGGCAGGAAGACTAGCCTAGCAGGAAACATGGAAGAGGTCAGGTTTATGAAACAAGACAGGTGGTTTGACCAACACAGTCATTTAAACAGAATTTGAATGTTTCTAGTTAATTCAATACCCTGCTAGACAATGACTGAGATCTGAGGGGCTTTTAAGCAGATGAGAAACTCAACATGAGCTCTCTCAATATGATGCTGTGATAAGAAGAGCAGATACTGAAAAGGCAGATAGAGCAGAGGGAAGGATTGGGAGGAATATTTACTAGAGATAATATTAGAGAGTGGCTATAGCTTCTAGTGAGTAATCTGTTTGGATTCTGAAAAGTAATTTGGTATCCATCCAGACACTTCCACTGGGCTAGCAGCCAGGTAGTCATTTATTTGAGAGAAAGGCTTAACTGGAATCGATGTCTAGAAGTACGACAAATTGCAGAGAGCCCTTTTGAACTGGAAGAACGTGAAAACTTACTAGAACTTTTCAGTTTAGCTGCTGGCAAGGCAGAAGGCTTGAGGTAGCTTGTCTGTTCTCAGCCAGGAGAGTGATGGGG